CCTGGGGAACTTCACTGGCAATGTGGGGAACGACGCCCTCCAGTATCATAACAACACAGCCTTCAGCACCAAGGACAAGGACAATGACAACTGCTTGGACAAGTGTGCCCAGCTCCGCAAAGGTGAGATTTGAGGGGATGGAAAAGGAGAAGTTCAGGTACAAGCCCGTAATCCCACTTGAGGAGAAAGAATGAATTATAACTGTACAGTTGAAGTTCCGGCTTTGATTCTTTCTGATACTGGCTCTAACTCCTTACCTGATGTCTGGTCTCTATCACAGTCCGCTTACTAGCACTGGGTCTGTTTCTCATGCCAGGTGGCTACTGGTACAACTGCTGCACAGACTCCAACCTCAATGGAGTGTACTACCGCCTGGGCGAGCACAACAAGCACCTGGATGGCATCACCTGGTACGGCTGGCACGGATCTACCTACTCCCTCAAACGGGTGGAGATGAAAATCCGCCCGGAAGACTTCAAGCCTTAAAAGGAGACTGCCGTGGAGCACAGATGCAGAAAGTGAGACACTTGGAGACTGGATGAAGGCAGAGAAGGACAGGAAGAGAGTGTTAGAAAGGGTAGGGTTGAGAAATAGCCTATAATCTCCAATGAAAGAATAAGTCTCCAAGAGGCACAATAAAATCGTATGTACCAAGGATTTTACAGTAAACAGGATGAGCTATTTAAACCCACTGGATCCTGCCATCCTTCCCAAGTGGCTAGACTGAGTGGGGCCACTCTGCCCAAGATCCCTGACATAGCACTAGCTTGTCTTTTCCACATGATTTGTCCGTGAAAGAAAATAATTTTGAGATCGCTTTATCCATTTTCTCTAAGGCTTAGGGTATGTAAGGGCAAAACACAAATCCCTTTGCTAAAAAAGAACTATATTATTTTGATTCTCAAAGGAGAGGCCTTTGAGTGTTAGAGAAAGGACTGAAGGAGGGAGGTGGAAGATGAGTATTTCCATTTTTAAATGTGGTGAAATTACCTTGAGTCTACACATTATTTTTAAAACACAAAAATTGTTCAGCTGGAGGTGAAATGACCCAGAGTGGACTTGCAGGGAGGAAACTCCAGGGCACTGGGCCTGATGATTGGACTCTGAGCACCGCCCCTGCTCGCCTTGATCAGGTACAGAACTGAAAGGCACGAAGCACCGGGAGGAGGTGGACAGGGTCCCTCATGGATGCCTGCACACAACTGCCTTAGAATATTACTAGTGAATACAGGTATACCTATTTTTATTTACTTTGTAAGAAACAAACTCAAGGAGCTTCCTTTTAAAATTTTGTCTATAAAAAATGGCTGAAAAATGAGGTAGATGGTGTTATAGTTAATAATGAATGCTGTATATAAGCATCTTGCTTTGTAAAAATAAAATATTGTGTTTGTTTTAAATATTCAAAGTTTCTTTTCCTTCTACAATAAACACTTTCAAAACCTGAGTATTTTCTTTTTAAATTCTTACCATTACCACTTAGAGCAGGATAAAAAGTTAAAGTTAAATCAGAGCAGTGACAGAGACCTGGAGTTTGTTTTGGTATTCAGGGCAACCATGTGGGGAGTAGAAGCCAAAAGGGGACAGGTGAGGGACAAAAGGGCAGCAACAACCAGGATAATTTTTCCTAAAAGGGATTACATGTCAGGGACTGGGCAGTGAAGGCATCCAGTCTTATGAGACCTCTATTCTACTCAGGATAGAGAAGCAAAAGCAGGTCAGCAGACCCTACCCTAATGCTCGGGTCCAACCAAGTAAAAGCAGTGTGTGCATGTTTCCTAAGAATCAAATAATCACTCAATCCTCTGTCTCCAAGGAAGCAATTATATTTACTGATATGTGAGCTTTAAGGAGATGGCAGTAGTTTATACTATCTCAGTGACAGCCCTGTTTTGGGGATTACATCTGGGATTTAATTTGTCCTGGAGCAGACAGGTAAAAAAGTCAATAGGTGCAAAGACAGACTGAACTAGTAGCAAGAGAATAACAGTGTCAACAGAACACAGGTTTTTAAAGCAAAAACAAAAAATAAGAAATAGCTGCACAAGGCGAGGCAGGTGTGGTGGCTCATGCCTGTAATCCCAGCACTTTGAGAGGCCGAGGCAAGGTCAAGAGATCAAGACCATCTTGGCCAACATGGCGAAACCTTGTCTCTACTAAAAATACAAAAATTAGTTGGGCCTGGTGGCATGCGCCTATAGTCTCAGCTACTTGGGAGGCTGAGGCAGGAGAACTGCTCAAACCCAAGAGGCAGAGGTTGCAGTGAGCTGAGATCACACCATTGCACTGTAACATTCTAGCCTGGCAACAGAGCGACATTCTGTCTCAAAAAAAGAGTAGCTGCACAAAGATGTTTTTGTGTAGGGCTACCTTGATTGCTTCAAAAAGAATTTAGGATGGTTGACCCAAATGTATATATTAAAATAAGCTCTAAAAAAGCAGACAAATTGGTGAAGGGAAAATAAGAGTAGGAAAAATAAAACAAAACCTGTGGGGTTTGAGGGAGGTTGGTAATACTTTAAACAGGTAAGATGTCTGTAATTCGTTGGAGGTACACCAGGAATTTAGCTTCAAGCTCTCCAGTAGCCACTGTAAGAAAGGGAATTCAATCTCTTACTGCAAAGCAATGTCTCCAAGACTGGATCAAAGTAGTGGCTCAGGGACATACAACCAACAGTGGGAAAAGAACCCTGAGATTTTCCATGAGGCTCACCCACAGAACCAGAGGTAGTGCTGTGAGCAACTTCCTTAGCAGCAGCTTTCTCTAAGGTTGCTTCTTAAAACTTTCTTCAGTAAAGATGACAGTAAACCACCACAACCGGGCTTAGGAAAAGCAGCTTTACAAAATCAGAAGTAAAAACTGCAAATGGAAGCAAAAAAAAAAAAAAAGTTGATGGGAAGATACAGGAGACCAGCAGAAGGGAGGTAGAAATGCAAGCTAAGTTGACTTAGCTGAGGACACCTGAAGAGCTAAGCACACTGGCTTTCCCCAGAAACACGCATTCATTCATTCATTTATTCATTGAGACAGAATCTAGCTGTCACCCAGGCTAGTACAGTGGCACGACCTTGGCTCAATGCAACCTCTGCCTCCTGGGTTCAAGCTGCCTCAGCCTCCCAAGTAGCTGGGATTATAGACGCACACCACCACACCCAGCCAATTTATGTATTTTTAGTAGGGATGGGGTTTCACCACCCTGGCTGGGCTGGTCTCAAACTCCTGACATCAAGTGATCTACCTACCTACCTTGGCCTCCCAAAGTTCTGGGATTACAGGTTTGAGCCGCCACACCTGGCCTGGAACAGCGTTTTAAACAAAGGGCAAGATCAATTTCCAGGGAATTCTGAGGACTTAACTTTCAACTATATTTGCTTACAAAGCTAAATAACCTTCTAGAGTCTCTTCCAGGCCTCCAACTATATCTGTCTGCTACAAATCTGCATAACTTTAAGTTTCTGTGATTGTCTCAAATATGGGGGAAAATTAAGGGTGGAATGAGGGAAGTTTCAAATAGGTAAGCAAGGAAATTAATATGCAAAATGAGTTACCTGACCTTAAAGTGATTATACTTAGTTATCATATTTATTTTCTTTTTAGGTTTTTTTTTTTTTTCGAGACGGAATCTCGCTCTGTTGCCAGACTGGAATGTAGTGGTGCCATCTAGGCTCACTGCAACTTCCACCTCCCGGGTTCAAGCTATTCTCCTGCCTCAGCCTCCCGAGTAGCTGAGGCTACAGGTGCCTGCCACCACGCACAGCTAATTTTTGTATTTTTAGTAGAGACAGGGTTTCACCATGATGGCCAGGATGGTCTTGATCTCTTGACCTCATGATCCGCCTGCCTCAGCCTCCCAAAGTGCTGGGATTATAGGTGTGAGCCACCGAACCCGGCCATTTTTTCTCTTAGTTATCATGTGAGAGCACATTACCTAAGCCAGAGAATGAAGAAAGAAACATAGGTTTTCACATTTACTGTGCCTGATTTGAAGCTGAAGCATGCCTCCTCTTAGGACAGCATGTTTTTAATTGTTCCTACATGGTATTTCAGAAATCAATGTTTTCTCCAAGTCCAATTTATTTGGGCAAAAACAGGATTTTATTTCTAGCTTTTTGCCAACTTTTTAAAGTGTTAAAGGAATTCTTTTAAACATCTTCTCAAAAGCAGAACTAGGAAAAGACTTGGCTATTTGATGACCCTCTCCAAGGAAGGAAGCACCACACACAGCAGGCTTTATCAGCCACGGTGAAGGAACTTATTAGCCGGATGATTTTTTTCTAAACTATCTGCAGTGAAATGACTGGCCATGTTAGCATTCACATGAAGATAATGAGATCCCAGAGTTGATATTCTCTGATAATCATTAGGGGAAGTGAATGGTTCTTTAGGAGCTGGAGCTAATGTTTCGTGCTGCTTCTAATTTCCTAACAGCAGAAAATTTATTAAACAACCTATTTTTTCCATACCCAGAAGACTGAAAACGCTCAGCACAGGAGAGAACATAGCCAAATTAGCGAAAAGACCATTAGATTTCAGATTATGCTCTGGCTTTTACATTCGCAAAGCACCAGAGGAGGAAGATGCAGGCATTGATATCTAGTTGATAAAACCACACTGTGCCCTTGGGTATCCTCTGAAGCCCAGGAACCAGCATATTCTACTCCAGTCCTAGACAGCACTATCTAACCCAGACACAAAACCTATCTTCCTAGGCTGCCATGGCCACAGAATTGCTTCTCAACTAATTTCACTGGACAAGAAAGGACAAGCTGGAAAACCGCAGGAGCCCAGGTAGTAAAGGGTCAAAAGAAATGACAATCATGGCTAGATTCCTGGGGAGAGCCATCTGCAACAACATGTCATTTAAATGTGCTGGCCAGACCCAGAGGCAGATTTCACAGAGCAGAAGTCTCCAAGTGACTCCAGCGAAGTGGCACCAGGCAGTGGGAGAGGAGAGGTCATTTTGGATGGAGGTGGCAAATAAAAAGGGTTTTTGACCTACCTGATGAGAGATTCTAGAATGGCAGGGGTGGGGCCTTTCTGGAACTCCAGTTCTTTGTAGTGTAGTGCTTTGGCATATGCTCGGCACTTGGCAGCTCTCTCACCCAGCAGAACAATGCCATTGTCGTCTCTCAGTGGCAGGGGGCCCTGGAGGAGAGCAAAACCCCACAACACAGGAAAATGGCAGATGGGGCACAAACAAGAGAAGGCTGTGTGGATGCTTCTCTCCTCCCACCAGCTGGTTCCCTGTCAGCCTCCATCTGGACAATGGGGAAAAGTCTCACCTTGTCACTGTGTTCCATGAACTCAGCCAAGTTTAAGAGGGTTTGTGTGACTTCAGCAATGTCTTGTGAGGTGAGGGCCAACTCGATGCTTCTGATGAGCTCATCCTGTTGATCTTCATTCAGCTCAGACCAGCAGGACACAAATGCAGCATTGAAGAGATCCCTGAAGGCAGAGGAGGTGAAAAAAGATGGAGACACTCCCATGCCTCTGCCTGCTGCCTCAAAGTCACACCTATCAATGGGCTTTTGGCATCCCTGATTCTGGTTATACAGACCAGTGCTGTCCAACAGAAGTTTCCTATCCAATATGGTAGCCACTGATCATTAAGCACCTGAACTGTGGCAAGTGTGGCTAAGGAACTGAATATTACATTTTATTTATTTTTAATTAAATTAACCACATATGGCTAGTGACTACTGAATCTTACAGTGCAGGTATAGACATTGTGATATACAGGTGACTTGGAGGGAGAGTGATAGGGTCGGGAGAGCAGAAGGGTGGGGAGAAGAGCAGAGCAAAGTAACTTTTCTCCAAAGGAATATTTGTTAGCAGTTTTTGCATCATTTATCTTCACTGGAGGAAATGGGAAATGAACAGAATGGGGACTTCTAACATAGAAGTCGGCATTAACAAATGCAGAAAATAATAATCATTACATGATTCTTGGGATGTTACTGGGATAATGTCTACATTCTTAAGGTCAAAAATGTCAAAGGCACCATCTGCTCTTGCTTTCCAAATATAACCAGAACGCTTAGTTGGACTGTCATAAAAAATGACAACAGGACTAGAAACATTAGCAAATAGGATCCAAATCCCTAAGTTCTGCAAGATTCTCTAAGCCGATCTCTAACAGTTGGGGCCTCACAAACACCTGGAACCAGAGGTTCCACTTCAAAGATTACTATGACCACTTTACATTACCACAGTGCCACATGGAGGGACACATTCACCATCCCTGACATCTAACTTTAATCCTATCCTCCACTGTTTTGGTGACTGTGCGGGAAAGGGAGTGGGAAACAACAGGATATGCCTATAATGGATAGATTTAGCATGTGATGCCTCAATGTTTATTTTCTGTTATATTAACAAGTTAAGTTAGACCAATATGCATGATTTTGAAATTTGATAGAAAAAAAATTTAAAATCCAAAGGATAAAATGAAGACCAAAAAAAGTCCCTTATAAATTTAAAAGTAAGTTTTTGGAGCCAGGTAATTACAGTTGCTGGTCATCCTGGCGACTTGAGAGGCTGAGGCAGGAGGATCTCCTGAGATTAGGAGTTCAAGACCAGCCAGGGAAACAAGCAAGATCTTCATCTTTAAAAACATAAAAAGAGTTTTCCTGATCTAGATCAGAGGCCACATTAGATCCTGAATGACCATATTTGGGACTAAAGGGATAAAAATATTATGTGTATATTTACCACAAGCCTCTGTGGATAACAGTATGCTCAGAGGTGACTTGGGCAGGAAAAAGGAACAATAAATGGATCAGCTGAGCATATGAAATCTGCACACTACAGAAACAGGGAAGTCCTAGAAACTATTTTTAAAGCATTAAAAAATACTTGAAAGAAATTAGAGGAAGCAAATCATGGCATCAAAGCAACAGTCTCAGGGGCCATCACTACTGCTAAATACACATCATAACAGCAAAGCAGCTGTGCTGACAAAAATGAAGTGAAATGTCTTGCTTTCCGCTTGCTAATGCGAAGGGCTGCTTATTAATTAAATTACCATTTTATGTCTCATTATAATGTCCAATGCAGAAATATCTAAAAAATAAGGAAGAGAATAAAAAAGAAACTAATCACTCCTTAAACCTTCCTAGAGATAACCATTGCTATATTACTTTCTAATCTTTATTCTATTCACATTCATTTTAATTTTCAATTTTGTATTCCATTGTATTTACTTACATTATATTATAAATCTTTCACCTGTATTAAAATTTTTTATAAACCAAAAAAATTTTTTTTGAGATGCAGTCTTGCTCTGCCACCCAGGCTGGAATGCAGTGGCACAACTGTGGCTCTGTATAGCCTCCAACTCCTGGGCTCAAGCAATGCCCCTGCCTTAGCCTCCTAAATAGCTAGGATTACAGGTGTGTGCCACCACGCTTGGCTAAATTTTTTATTTTTGTAGAGATAGAGTCTGGCTATGTTGCCCAGGCTGGTCTTGAGCTCTAGGCCTCCTGTGATCCTCCTGTCTCAGCCTTCCAGAGTAGTGAGATTACAGGCATTAGTCATCACGCCCAGCCTGTAAACCAAATTTTAAATGGCTGTTTAAGATTTACTACTTAAGCCGGGCGCGGTGGCTCACGCCTGTAATCCCAGCACTTTGGGAGGCCGAGGCGGGTGGATCACGAGGTCAAGAGATCGAGACCATCCTGGTCAACATGGTGAAACCCCGTCTCTACTAAAAAAAAAAAAAAAAACACAAAAAAAAAATCAGCTGGGCATGGTGGCACGTGCCTGTAATCCCAGCTACTCAGGAGGCTGAGGCAGGAGAATTGCCTGAACCCAGGAGGCGGAGGTTGCAGTGAGCCGAGATCGCGCCATTGCATTCCTGGGTAACGAGAGTGAAACTCTGTCTCAAAAAAAAAAAAAAAAAAAAAAAGATTTACTACTTAAAACAATATAATTTTTTGGTGGGGTTGAGAAATGAGAAATTACTTGACGGATACAATGTACACTATTCAGGTGATGGTTCTACTAAAAGCCCAGACTTCATGACTATACAGCATATCCTTGTAACAAACCTGCACTTGTACTCCAAAATCTTTAAAACATTTAAAAAATAAAAAACAAATGGTTATGACTCATGCCTATAAATTACAGCACTTTGGGAGGCTGAGGCAGGACGACTGCTTAAGTCCAGGAGTTTGAGATTAGCCTGAGCAACATAGTGAGACCTTATCTCTACAAAAAATAAAATTAGTTGGGCCTGGTGGTGCGTGTCTGTAGTCCCAGCTACCCGGGTGTTTGATGCGGGAGGATCACTTGAGCCCAGGAGGTTGAGGCTTCAGTGAGCTGAGATTACGCCACTGCACTCCAGCCTGGGCAGCAGAGTCCCTGCCTTGCTCTGTTGCTCAAGGCAGCCATAAAGCTGCACTCGGGTTCAAGGGAAGAAGACATGGACACCACCTCTTGATAGATTCTAACAAGATTCTAGCAGAGTGTATGGAACAGGAGCTACTGTTGCAGCCATCTTTGGAAAATAGGGTTTTGCTCTGAAACTCCGTTTCAAAAACAAAAACAAAAATGATAGGCCAGGCGCAGTGGCTCACGCCTGTAATCTCAGCACTGTGGGAAGCCGAGGCAGGTGGATCCCTTGAGGTCAGGAGTTCCAGACCAGCCTGGCTAACACGGTGAAATCCCATCTCTACCAAAATTACAAAAATTAGCTGGATGTAGTAGCATGTGCCTGTAGTCCCCGCCACTTGGGAGGCTTAGGCAAGAGAATCGCTTGAACCAGGGAGGTGGAGGCTGCAGTGAGCCAAGATCGTGCCACTGCCCTCCAGCCTGGGTGACGGAGGAAGACTACATCTCAAAAACAAAAACAAAAGAAAGATAAATGTTTAAAGTGATGTATATCCCAATTATCCTGATTTGCTTATTACATTTTATGATGTATCAAAATATCACATGTACTTTGAAAATATATATATCTGTGTCAGTAAAAAAAAAATTTGGCCAAATGGCTCATGCCTATAATCCCAGCACTTTGGGAGGCCAGCGTGGGCAGATCACTTGAGACCAGGAGTCCAAGACCAGCCTGGCCAACGTGGTGAAACCCCATCTCCACTAAAAATACAGAAATTAGCTGGGCATGGTGGTGTATGCCTGTAATCCCAGCTACTCGGGAGGCTGAGGCAGGAGAATCACTTGAGCCCGGGAGGTGGAGGTTGCAGTAAGCCAAGATTGAACCACTGCACTCCAACCTGGGCAAGAGCAAGACTGTCTGAAAAAAAGAAAAAAAAAGTTCTGGAAAATTCTATTTTCCAAAGATGTCTGCAACAGTAGCTCTTGTTCCATACACTCTGCTAGAATCTTGCTAGAATCTATCAAGAGGTGGTATCCATGTCTTCTTCCCTTGAGCCTGAGTGTGGCTTTGTGGCTGCCTTGGGCAACAGAGCAAGGCAGAAGCAACTCTTTGTGAAGTCTAAGGGTAGGTAATAAAAACACCATGCTCTTCTGCTACCTCGTTCTCTTGGGACACTCTCTCTTGAAGCCAATCACCTTCTGTGAGAAGGGCCAAGCAACCCATGGAGCGATCCCATGGAGAGGAAGCAAGGCTCCCAGCCATAGCTGGGTTCCTAGCCGGGTTCCTAGCTGGGTTTCTAGCTAGGTTTCTAGCCGAGAGTCAGCTGCATCTTGCCAGACATGCAAGCCAGCCTTGAAGGTGGATTCTCCATCCTGCCCCAGTCAAACCATCTCCACTGACACTATGTGGTGCAGAGGCAGGCTGCCCCAAAAGTCCTCCCAAATTGCAGATTCAGGGCAAAATCAATGACTGTTATTGTTTCAGACCATTTTTTTGTGGTATTTGTAACAAACACAGAAATAATTAGAATACCATTGTTACTGAAAATAAGTTACATTCAACAATTACATTCTTGCTTTTAGAGTTATAAATAACTTTGTAATTAAAATGTTAGGCCTAAATGTACTAGAAAAAGGAATTTATTTGTGGTCTACCAGCAAGGTTAAGATGGATGTTACAGTATGAGCTTGCTGAATCTGTTCTTTTTTGTTTTTTGGCATCCCACAAAATTAGAAAAATTAAAAATAGCAGCCCCTTTATTATTACTTCTAATAAAAACTAATTTGTAGATATCGTTTTCCATGTGCTGATCCTCTCCACCTGTGCTGACACGCTATACCTGGCCATCGGGTTGTAGGCCTGCGCCAGGGCCCAGCAGGATCGCAGGGAGGGCGATGATGAGTCCTTCAGCAGCTCCAGGCTCAGCCGCCTCAGCCATTCCAGCCAGTCGTCTTTGGAGACCCTCCTGGCAGCGCCCCATGCCTGTTATCCCACAGATGACAATGGAAAACAATCAGCTTCAAGGGCCAATTGAGAAAAGTCCTCATCTATTTAATGATTAGTCTACTTCTTTGATTTATAAAATCCATATTTCATGATAAAATTCCCCTAGAGTGCAAATACAAAAGAACAATATTTAATTAAAAGCCATAAAGCAAGAACAGCAACTCTGGAACATACCACACTGTGGAAAATGCCTGTTTCACAACTCCTTTGTGCTGGACTCTGACTATAGCAAAGGAGGGAGCTCTACAGAACCAGAATAGATGTGACTGTCACACTTGGGGTACATTCAACAAAGCCGAATGGCCTCCAGCAGTGCAAGAAGGGAGCTGCGTCCTCTGCATTACAACACCAGCTCATCTGACAATGAAGAGTCACGCAAGAGGGAAAAGGCTCAGGTTTACGCCATCATGAATTATGTTACAACCGGGTGAGCAGTGAGGCCAAAGCACATGGCACTGTGGCAGAACAAGAAAAAGCTGAACAGGTTTAATTTCTACTCTAGTTTATCCCCTCCAACTTCTCTCAAAACTCTGAACTCTGAAGAATCAAGAGTTACTTCCAGGGGCAGCTGAGGCAGGTGGGTGGAAAGGCTGAGGTTTTGGAGAGGTCAGTACAGTGTCATGGCCAACAGCTACACTCGACTCAATGGCTTGAGTTCAAATCCCAGTTATATAACATACTGGGTCTCTGATCTCTGGCAAGTCACTTAACTCCTCTGTGCCTCAGTTTCCTCATCTGAAAAATGAGGATTATAGTTTCTGCTTCCTGGGGTGTTTTAAGTTAGTAAATGTAATGAATTTCTAACAGTGTTTGGCACCAAGTTAGTACTGTATGCCCATTTCTCTAAAGTTAGAAACACCTGCCTGGGATCCTGGCACTGCTACTCAGCAGCTGTAACACCCTGGGCAAATTGCTTGTATGTTGCAGCTGAGCCTCAGAATTCTTCATCTAGGGATAATGTACCTAAATGGCTTAGGGGGAATAAATGAGCAAAAAATGATTGTTATTATTGTCAAAACAACACCTGTTTGAACTGGCCTAGCCCTAACTACACTAAATCCCTAACTTTTAAAATATGTTCTTTAAAGATTTTTCCAGGAGAACACGTCAATTCTCCCTAAATGGGGGAAGTCATGCAAATTAGAGCAGAAGTTCTCAAACTTTAGACTAGTGAAGTGGTCCAGTGAGTGAAAAGACCCCCGTGTGCTACGCCTAACAATCAAGGACTCAACCATCACCTCCCTGGGATAAACTGGAGATCTGCTGTTGCTTCTAAAGAGTTACCAATGAACCAGGGATGGTGGCTCAAGCCTGTAATCCCAGCACTTTGGGAGTCCGAGGTGGGTGGATCACCTGAGGTTGGAAGTTTGAGACCAGCCTAACCGACATGGAGAAACCCTGTCTCTACTAAAAATACAAAATTAGCCGGGCATAGTGGCACATGCCTGTAATCCCAGCTCCTTGGGAGGCTGAGGCAGGAGAGTCACTTGAACCCAGGAGGGAGAGGTTGCGGTGAGCCAAGAGTGTGCCACTGCACTCCAGCCTGGGCAACAAGAGCGAAACTCCGTCTCAAAAAATAAATAAAAGAGTTACCGATGAACAGAATTATACAAACTATCATTTTATGTCAAAAACCGAAGTAGAAATGTTATAAGAAACAAGCTAAATAATTACCACTGGCCATACAGTGAGAGCCCCTGAATGAGAAGGAAGAGGGAGGCTTGACTTTTACACCTTGTTCAGTTGAGCAAAATGGGAACATGCAGTCCTTTCCTGTCCACAGATATCTGGCTTCTTCCCTATAAGATGGGTCTGTGCATAGGTGTATTGTATTATGTAGCAACTGTTAAAAGCTGGACATAAACAAGGAAGTATTACTAGTTTCTTTTTCCCTCTAATGAAGTGAGGTTGGGCCTGGTTAAGGCAGAAACAATTCAACACAGCGGTTAACAGAGTGGGCTCTGGAGTCACACTATCTAGGTCAAATCCCAGCTGACACTAATTGACCTTGATTACTTAATCTGTCAGTGCCTCATGGCCCACATCTATAAAGTGAGACAGCAATGACAGCACCTAACTCATGGGGTTATCACGAAGATTAAATGAGTGAATATAAAGTGCTCTACAACAGGGCTTGACACATAGAAAGCACTCAATAAATGTTAGTTGTTACTATTACTTGATAAATGGCATTAAATAGGTTTTCAAAAAAAATCATAGCTTAATTTATCAACTAGGCCAAGTCTCCCATGTGGCCCTTTCCCGCTACTCTGTAAAACATCATCAACTCTCAATTATCTGGGTTCTATAAACTGTGCAAACATGAGCTGTTTCCTCTTGCTATCCGCCTCATCTGTTATGCTGGTGCATGTTCATGGAATGCCAGCTTACTCACGATGAAGGTAAGCCCAAAGAGATTATCATAAGACAGACAGTAAAGCTGCTGAAAATTCTGGAAGGCATTCTAGACATATACATAAATGGTTTTTATGTTTTTGTTTTTGTTTTTTTGAGACAGAGTCTCGCTCTGTTGCCAGGCTGGAGTGCAATGGCGTGATCTCAGCTCACTGCAACCTCCACCTCCTGGGTTCAAGCAATTCTAATGCTTCGGCCTCTGGAGTAGCTGGGATTACAGGCACGTGCCACCACACCAGCTAATTTTTGTACTTTTAGAAGAGACGGGGTTTCACCATGTTGGCCAGGATGGATTCAATCTCCTGATCTACCCACCTCGGCCTCCCAAAGTGCTGGGATTACAGGCGTGAGCCACCGTGCCCGGCTGGTTTTTGTTTTCTGAATCACATAAATCCTCTATTATCACAGCCAATAAAAGGTGACTGAGGTGGCAAATTGTTACTTTGAAAGCTGGTTAAGACTGATAAATATACCAATCTCTAATTATTATTACATGATTATAAGGAGGCACAATTTACCACTCTGCTTTTTTTTTCTTTTTCTTTTTTTGGTGAGATAGGGTCTTGCTCTGTTGCTTGTGCTGGAGTGGTGCAGTGGCATGATCACTGCTTACTGCAGCCTTGACCTCCTGGGCTCAAGAGATCCTCCCACCTCAGCCTCCTGATTAGCTGGGACTACAGGCATGCACCACCATGCCCAGCTAATTTTTCTATTTTTTGTAGAGGGGCATTTTGCCATGTTGCCCCAGCTGGTCTTGAACTCCTAGGCTGAAGTAATCTTCCTGCCTTGGCTTCCCAAAGTGTTGAAATTACAGGCATGAGCCACCGCACCTGGCCCCCCACACCCTTTTTTTTTTTTTTTTTAGAGACAGAATCTTGCTCTGTTGTCCGGGCTGGAGTGTGGTGGCGCGATCACAGCTCACTGCACCCTGGAACTCCGGGGCTCAAGTGAACCTCCTGTCTCAGTCTCCCAAATAGCTGGGACTACAGGCAGGTATCCCTCTGCCCAGCTAATTTTAAAATTTTTTCAATTCTTTTTTTTTTTTTGGAGACAGGGTCTTACTCTGTCACCCAGATTGGAGTTAATTTTTTTCATTTTTATCATAGAGATGGTATCTTACTATGTTGCCCAGGCTGGTCTCAAACCCCTGGCTTCAAGTGATTCTTCCATTTTGGCCTGCCAAATTACTGGGATTACTGGCATAAGCTGCCACGCCCAGTTCCCAAAATTTACTTTCCAATGAAATAGATCTGAGAGTCAGCTGTGGAGGATTTTGTTTAGAGTTTTGAACTTGATCTACTTTCTCAGGTGAGATAAACTAAGAGTCTTTCTTTTGTCTCTCTGGCAAGTTTATGCTTATTTTTTCCCAGTCTCGGTAGAAAGCAAAACTTCCTGGTAGCAAACTAGATTACTGAAGAATTTCCTAAAATAGAACAAAGCTCTAAAGCAGGGTGGACAGCTGCCTGATTGGAAGGACATTCTGAACCTAGTCAGAATGAAAACATCTGGATGGAAATGTGCATCTGGCCTCCTGCCTGGCCCCTCCCTCAACTGTGAGGTGTCAGCAGGGTGGCCTCAATGATTGCCTGGGAATGCCAGGTGACTGATAACCTTTTTCTTCCTCCTAAAGTCTCAGAGTAGCAGTTACAAAATCCCCAGAGGGAAAGCAGCATCACTCCTGACCCAGGAATATTTTACTACCTCCATCTTGACCCAGCAAACATTTCTTTGCAGTGGTCACCTGAAGCTGTTCATGTGAGTAAAAACTCTGAAACAACAGTAATAAACTCCCAGTGTTCCAAAGCTGGGCATGAGCCCACACACATGCACACAGGACTGTGTTCAAGTCTTTATGGGCTTTGCCAAAAGAAGTGAACGAGTCAGCTGGGACACAGTCTTGCCCAGTTCTTCACCTCTGCTGCTGCACATGGAGTGAGCTGGCTAACAGATGAAAAATAACACTGAAATCCAAACTGGAAGTTGCTTACAGTCACCAGAAACATGAAAGACTAATGCAAAATGTGGAAAATCATCAACGTGGTATATTTATTTAAAAGTCAGTGAAGTTATTATGATTATTCTGCTCTGATTCACTGAGATGCGGAGAATGGCTGGTGGCATACATGGTGAAAAGCTGGTCATATCTTAGGCTTTGGCCAGCAGAGAGAATTCAGTAATCACCTGGAAAGTTTTAAAATCTCACTACTCAAAGTGTGGTCCATGGACCAGCAGTATCACATTACTTGGCAGCTTGTCAGAAATGCAGAGTATCAGGCCCAACATCAGACTGCCAACATCAGAATAAGCGTTTTAACAAGATTCCCAGCAAGTGGTAAACCCAATGAGTTTGAGAAGTTTGAATGCTGTTTTAAAGAGCCTTCATCAGTCTCGGTGCCAACTAGGGGGCTCACTAGCTTTGCGGCGTTTATGTAAAAAACGAGAATGTATTTGCAGCAAAAGTTCTAGCATCCATACTCCAAGGGAGCACAAAAGGACATTTTGTTCTCTCTGTTTTCTCTATTCAAAACAAAATTACAATTCAGACACCTGGAAAAGACAAAATGATCTAAGTTCATGGTGTCTAGATTTCTAGAAAAAACAATGGACTGGTTTTTGGTTGGTTTAAACTGAAGGTGGCAACAGTCAAAAGTCTTGAGCAAGTGAGAAGGGCAGAGCTCTCCTTCCCCAGTCCCCTGAAACAATGGACTTGCCCTTTGGAGGTTGATGGTGCTGACGTGCAGTTTCTTCATGGGTCCTGTTTCCACTGGTCCACTAGCCAATGCATCCCCCTGGCCACTCCTAAGCATTCGATGCTGGTAAATCAAAGGATCCTCCTCTTCATCAGCAAGTGTGTAACCCTGCAACCAGAAATTCATAGGAAACACCTACAACTCTACCAGATGCTTCTGGTTTAGAAAATATCCTTAAACTTTGGGAGGTGCAGACCTTCTGGTAGAGCCAGGATTTCAGTAAGAAGTACAAAGTCACATGTATGAACAAAATGAACCACGGGTGGGCTGACTCCACAACTGTAGACCAGTCTTTGCTAGTCAGTCCTAGTTACTAACAAGCACTGACTTATAGTAGGAGCAAGCAACCATGCAACTAGCAAAGATAAACAATTGCCAACAATGGGAAGAGTGATAAAGTATTTGGAACAAAGGCAGCACACAGCCCCATCCCCTGGCTGCTTTTTACTCTTTAAAAAGAATTATTTACTCATTTATTTATTTGTGCCTCCCTATGTATCTATTTTATTTATTTATTTATTTTGAGACAGTCTAGCTCTGTCACCCAGGCTGGAGTGCAGTGGTACAATCTCAGCTCACTGCAACCTCTGCCTCCTGGGTTCAAGCAATTCTCTTGCCTCAGCCTCCTGAGTAGCTGGGACTACAGGCATGCACTACCATGCCTGGCTAATTTTTATATTTTTAACAGAGAGAAGGTTTCGCCATGTTAACCAAGCTGGTCTCAAACTCCTGACCCCAAGTGATCCTCCTGCCTCAGCCTCCCAAAGTGCTGGGATTATAGGCGTGAGCCACTGGGCCAGCCTTTAATCTACATTGAGACAGGGTCTCACTGTGCCACCCAGGCTGGAGTGCACTGGTACAATCACAGCTCACTGCAGCCTCAGGTGATCCTCGCACTTCAGCCTCCTGGGTAGCTGGGACCACAGGTGCCCTCCATCATGAGCACCTAACTTTTAGTATTTTTTTGTAGAGATGGGGTTTCACCATGTTGCCCAGGCTGGTCTCAAACGCCTGGGCTCAAGTGATCCACCTACCACACGCCTGGCCTCCCAAGGCATGAGCCACTACGCCCAGCCCCCTGCCTGTTTTTATATAGCCCAAGAGCTAAGAAGGGTTTTTATACTTTTAAATGGTTGGGGGAAAAAAATCAAAAGAAGATTGACATTTTGCAACACATGAAGATTGAGAGAATCAAATTGAGGTGTCCATAAATAAAGGTTTACTGGAATGCAGCCGGGCTCATCATTTACACATCGTGCATGGCTGCTCTCAGGCTGCAGTGGCAGAGCTGAGGAGTTGCAAAAGACATCACATAGCCTACAAAACTGAAAAAAAAGTTTGCCAATCCCTAGTTTAGAGCTAAAAAGCTATAGATACTCCCATAGCCAAGACTACAAGAATATCAAGCAGTAAAGACAACAGGGACTGCAGAAGCAAAAGGAAGTGTAGTTCACCTTGACAATTGCTTCAGAAGGGAAAGGAAGTGTAGCTCACCTTAACAATTCTGCAGATAAGCACGTCATAGCGCTGATGATTGATTCGGTGTCGCACCAGAACTTTATTCACCATTGGAATGAAAATTTGGTACTACAACAGGAGGAGGAAGAGATTAGAAACTATCATTTTGGAAAGTGGAAAGAAAGCAGAGGAAAAAATGTTATACAACTACGTTATGGCCATTTGTTCTGGGTTTGTGGCTAACTGTAATATTCAGAAGACTCCTTCTTCCCATCTCCTGCTATAATGCTAGCCCAAGTCCCCATCATCTTCCATCTGACTTATGATGGTGGCCTCTTAATGGACCTTTGTTCTGCCCTTATCTCCACAGCCTATTTTCCCACACAGCATTGACAGTTATTATTTAAAAATATTAAGTCAGGTCATATTTTTCCTGTGTTCAAAATCCACCAAAAACTTCCAGTCTTGCTCAGAGTAAAAGCCAAAATACTTACAACGGCCCACAATAGTGATCTGCAAATTTTAGTGGGACAGCTCACGAAACCAGAGACTGCTGGGCTCCACAGCTAGAGTATCTGATTCAGTAGGTCTTAGGTGAGATGAGGTCTTGCTCTGTTGCCCAGGCTGAAGCGCACTGGCACAATTATGCGGGTTACTGCAGTCTGGAACTCCTGGGCTCATCCCTCTGCCTTAGCCTCCTGAGTAGTGGGGACTACGGGCAAGTGTCCCTGTGCCTGGCTAATTTTTAAGTTTTTTTGTGGAGACAGGGTCTTGCTATGTCTCGAGTTGGTCTCCAACTCCTGATCTCAAGCAATTCTCTTGCCTCAGCCTCCCAAGATGCTGGAATTACAGGTATGAGTCTCTGTGCCTAGCTCAAGAATTTGCATTTCTAATAAGTTCTCGGGTATGTAGATATTGATATTGCTTGTCCAGGAATTATATTTTGAGAGCTACAGGCCTACAAGATCTGATCTCTACTATCTTGCTTTATCTCTATCACCTTAACTCCGAGCACGTCCCTGTTGCTCGCTCCTCTGAAGTCACACTGCTCTTGTGCTATGCCCTGAACTCTTTGAGCAAGCTGCCACCTCAATCCCAGCATTTGCTATTTCTGCTCCCTGCATCCAGTTCTTTGCAACTGGGCCTTTATTTTATTTAGGTCTCTGCTTAAGTGTCAACTGATCAGAGGTCTTCTCTGTCTACCCTAAATAAAGACCATTTTTCCCCACTTCAACCCATCACTCAAGAAACAAGCTGTGTTTATTTGCTTTGCTTCATTAGGATGGAAGCTCTATGAGAGCAAGGACTTTATTCTGTTTACTGTGTTATCCCCAGAACAGCACTTAGCTCACACAGGCTGCTCAATAAATGCTGAACAAATGAAAAAAAAAAAAAAAAAAAGCAAGTAATTTCATATTCTCTGATGGTGGCTGGCACCGTAGACTACCAAATGGAGTGGCTCACAGACAAAGTCTTCTTTCCAAATAAGGCAGAAGAGCACCTGTTTGTCCACACTCTCCTCTTACCTTCTTCCCCAGTTGAAAAACAAGTGAAGACAGTGTGTCCATGGCTGTGGAGCGCAGTTCTGGGCTCTGGTCCAGTGTTCGAACAATAGGGTGAATGATGCGGGAGGCATAGTCAGTGAAATCCAGGGACTCCGTCAGACGGTCCACGGTCTCCAGCGCTGCCCTACAACAATCGCTAACATACAGTAACTGCTAACACACAATCTCCAAGGAAGACACGTGGCTGAGGGTGATCTTAACAGTCAGCATTGAAGGGATGGGAATGAATGGCTTCTAAGGTATTTTGGATGACATGGATCCAACATATATTCCAGTGGGATAGGACAGTTAAGATTTCCATAAACCTGGGACATTTCTTTTCTTTTGAGACAGAGTTTCGCTCTCGTTGACCAGGCTGGAGTGCAATGGTGCGATCTCGGCTCACTGCAACCTCCGCCTCCTGGGTTGATTCTCCAGCTTCAGCCTCCCGAGTAGCTGGGATTACAGGCATGGGCCACCATGCTTAGCTAATTTTTATATTTTTAGTGGAGACAGGGTTTCTCCATGTTGGTCAGGCTGGTCTTGAACTCCCGACCTCAGGTAATCTGCCTGCCTCAGCCTCCCAAAGGGCTGGGATTACAGGCATGAGCCACCGCGCCCGGCCAAACCTGGGACATTTCTAAACTAAAATAATGAGAGTTGAAACAACAACAAAATATAAAGATGGCCTGGGAACTTAAGAAACGAACATTTTCAACAAAACATTAAAAGTTTAATGATTGCTAGTCCCAAAGAGGAGGTGCTCACTTTCGAGATGGCAGGGGAGCTTCAGGGGCATCAAACAACTTCACAATAGGAGGCAGCAGCAAATGCAGGTAGTCATCCAGGTTGGCACCAAACAGCTGGATTGCAGCCAATAACTGCAAAAGGGAACAAAAGCATGGTGATCAACAGTCAGCTCCCAAGTATCTAAGGACATGGAACGTGTGGTGGTGTGGATAATTCAAAGTTCTGTGGCGACTGGGAAAAGCCTTTATTAAATGGCCTTGGACTATATCCTTTTGGGTAGCACTTTCTCCCCCTCATTTTATTTGCTTACATATTACTTTGCTTTCTCTGTGCTCATTTGAGTTGATAAGGAGCCCATTTGCTGGATAATAAAGAAAATTGGTCTGGGATAAAATATCTGCCAAGACTAATCCATTAGAAGAGATATGAAACATAAGGATAATCAAGAGAGGATTACAGACATTCTGTAAACTGCACACATTGAGTATTAGTATTCTTGGGATTCTGTCTTATGAAGTGGGCGTCAGCCTGTCACTTAGAACAAGGTCTCAGCTTTGAGCTGAACACCCAGGGACTCTGGGGGAAACAGAAAATCTCTCTGGAGAATGACGTAGACTACTCACCTTGATCGAGACGATGCGGCCTGGGCTGTTGTCATGCATGAAGACACGCAGCATGTGCGGGATCAGCTGGGGCAGGTACAGCTTAAATTCACCCCCAAGAGCTACCACAATTTGCTCAATGAGAAGAATGATCGTGCTCTGAATTGAGGTGTTCATGACCCAGAATTCCTACAAAGAGAAGAAAGTCAGAGGAGCTGAGTCAGGTCCCATTCTGCTAATATATGAACCGAGGAATGCAAATGGCCAGAAAAGCAAAACTGTAGTAAGCATGGTCTGCTCCGAGATCAACTCCTCCCTCCCCTCCTCCCACTGGGCCCTTCTTGCATCCTATGTTGCAGCCATACTGGACAAACTCGACTGCATTTCCCCAGATGCACCAGGCTACCTCAGTCCTCTGGGCTTTGCTCATGCTGCTTCCTCTGCCTGGAATCCTACTTCTTGCTCAGTTAGGTCCTATCTGTCTTTCTGGACGTGGTTCAAGCCTCACTTCTCCCATGCAGACTTTCTTGTTCTCTTTCCACGATCCACTTGGGTCCTTTACACTCTCTTTGCTGGCAGCTGTAATGCTTCCTTTGCTTTGCCAACCTCCCTCTAGACTGTAGGCTACTTAAGGACAAGAAACCTCTTAACTCATCTCTGTATCCCCAGAATCTATCAATCAGACCATTTGGAATGTTCTAGAATGAACAGATGACTAAGTCACTCTAAGAGCTCTGAAGTGGTTCAGGGTGAACCTGGACCTTACTTTGGTATCATCTGATCTCTACCAGGGGGTGACTCCAGTATTACAAAAATTTCCTGGCTTTTCTGGATTTAGATTTTGCTCTTAATAGATAGCACCTAACATCTGTCCCCTCCCAACAATCTATCCATCAGGCCTGAATGGTGCTACAAAATGAGTACCTTTCTACACCCATATGGTTATTTTCCACCTAAGTTACTAAAATAAAACCCTAGCCAACTGGCCACAGATCCTGCCTTAGCACTACAAAGCAAATTAGTTCAAGCCTCTAACTCCGGGAAAAGCTATCATTTCAAATCAACTCAAAAAGACAGCTGCCTACCACTATCTTTAAAATTTCTGGAGTCAAGAGATTTAATAACAGAAATCCTACTAATGACGGCAATACATGAATAGTAATATCCTTGGAGCCTCTAAACAGTTCAAAGTAGAAGTCCATAAAAACAAGAATAACTCCTCAGATGAAAGGCTTTATAGAAAGATACAGTATTTTTATTTAAAAAGATATCTTAAAAAGCATAATGGCTGTAGAAGATGGTGATAAAACTTCTTTTTCCTCTACTTGGAGATAAGTATTCTCTTTGAAAAAGCTGTGTTTTCTAGGTTAAAAGTGTTGCCAAAGAAACACCACAGACTTTACAGCCTCCAGAGTCTGATGTTCATTTACTTGAACCCCACTCTGCCTTCTTTAGAGAAGGCCTACCTACCTCCCAGCTGCATTATCATCAGCTCCTCACAGGGGCTTCTCTACCTCAAAGATGTCAGGAAGCCTGCCAAGGGACGTCAGCTGGATCACTGTTCACAAAGACTATTTTCTTCCCAGGCTCAGGAGAGCTCATTAAAATGCCCAAAATCAACGGTCAAAGGAAGAGCCCCTGCTGCACCTTCTCTATCTGGGATGAAATGAAAGCTGCATTTTGCAGGTGTAAGGCTCCCTGCCTCAAATCCCTGTGTACTGGTCATAAACCTGTTATGATTTTAATATGGTCATATCGTGTCCTTGTTTAGCCTTTTTGGGAGGATTAAGTCACAGATGACTTCATCCTTCTCCCATGAGGACACTGCTTCTTCCCTTGCTCCTCCTCTCCCTAAGACCAGCCATCGGCCTTTTTAGTATTCTGCCTAAATCTTCCTGGTACAGAGGCTTCTGTGGTAGCACTCAGGGAATAGAGGAGCTTTTAATTATTTATACATGTGGGAGGTTTTCAGTTCTGAGACCCAGGTGCTGGGAAGTTCCATCTGAAGCCAGCCATTTTGATTTTAGTCCTGCTGCTTCCTTGAAACTAACTACAGAGGTCTGGTGTGAAAGAACAGAAATCATCTTCCCACCCTTTGAGGACATGCTGTCCCTGCAAAGCAACCTTCTCTGCAAAGACATTTAAATTATATAGAACAGTAGGAAAAACGATATTGCCAATGGGTGTCTTCTGGTACCTACTGAATGCATGTTATAGAATCCTGGGGTCTGAGCCTTTTCTCATGTGCCACTGGAGTCAAAAGGTGATATGTATGGTTTTGAAGGTAGCAGGTTAAAGCATCACCTTGTTCCTTGGTGCCCAACCCATGTCCATCATATTTAACAGCCCTAAGAAAACCCAATGCCCAATCCCTTCGTGGTTTATAAGCAGTAAGGAAGAGGGCTTTTGTGAGAATAGAAAAGCACTGTTGTGACATTAAAGTGAAATTGCTTTGTTGTGTGTGAGGCAAATAACCCAAGAGTCTATTTCTGGCAGAACAATTAAGGATTTCTCTTCAACCGTCATGCGTTGCACTTTTGTACCTGAGAACCTGGATATACAGCCCTTCCTCCCCCTCAAAATCCAGTGGGCTTTGTTCCACCTCCTGGACTGGGGCTGTAACAGCTCTACAAAGATCCATGAAAAAAAGGTCTATATCATCCAAACTTGCTTCTGAGCCTTCCTCGATCCAAACGCGAAGAGGCCAAAGCATTAACTCACTCTCATGAGGGTGACTATTTCATCCATATAAGGTCTGATGTGGCTCTTCACAAAGGACACCAACATTCCCAGCTGCTGGAACAAAAACTGAAATGGACAAGAGTCAAACAGTTGGTATCATGAAGGACACTGAATCCCCAGGCTTACCTTAAGTTCATGTGAACAAATAAAGATAACTATGGAATGGGTTTCCACACTACACCATCTACTGATAACATATTTCAAAGACTCAAACTTGGCTAGGTTTGAAGGTCCAGTGCTTTTGAAGGCCGAAGTGGGAGGATTGCTTGAGGCTAAGAGTTCAAGAACAGCCTGGGCAACATAGTGAGATCCTGTCTCTACAAGAAAATACAAAAAATTAGCTGGGCACTTGCCTGTAGTTCTAGCTACTCTGGAGGCTAAGGTAGGAAAAATGCCTGAGCCCAGGAGTTCAAGGCTTAGTCAGCTATGCGTGTGCCACTACACTCCACCTTTGGTGACAGAGTGAGACTCTGTCTCTTTAAAAAAAAAAAAAAAAAAAGACTCAAACTTAAATGGTGATGGTGATGAGGACTCAAAACAACTGTCAGGGGCTTTTACACACCAGACGAGCCAGTTACTGCGTAGCAGCGGTGTTGTAACCCTCACTTAACCTCCCGGTGTCCAGGTCCTTCCATTTTAGTACTTATCTCATAGACTTGTTGTGAGGCTTAAATGGGATAATTCATGTCAAGCACTACAACAGGGACATGAATACTATTCAGTGCATATAATGAATGTCTGTATCACTGAAGGATCTCTGGAGTCACTAAACGAAAAAATAAACCTGAAAGTTTTAACCAGCTATAAATATACATTTTGTTTATTTAGCTCTAATTAATTACTACTTACTTCCTAAAATAAATACAGCTAACTCTTGATTATGGGCATTGTAGCTCGTTTACAGTAATTAACTCATTACTTAGGTCTTAATTAATTAACTGTGTCTCTGAGAGTTTATGAACCAAAACAGCAAGCAAATTGGGGTAGGGATAGAATGAGGAGATTCTACTTAAGCTGGTACCTTTTAGGTGAAAGAAGAAAAAAATGTCCACTAAATAAAGCTGGGAATAAGGAAGGTGTGGGTAGAGAAAATCTCAACTACTTTCCAGGTTAAAGATTTGTCTTCAAGATGTAGGTTTTATTTTGTTATAAGCTAGTATTACATGATATAAGATAGTATTACATGCAATAAGTAGCAAATAACATTTGAAACTTCTCTCCCCCAAATTTTTATAGCTGTCTCTGCCTTTGTTCCTCACCATTAACAAGGATAATTTGGAAAATGAATATATATATTTTCACTCTTATCCACATGACAGTTAGGTGAGTGGGGGATAAATAAAAAGCACTGCTTCAAAAAAAAAAAAAAGTGTCATTTCAAACAGTAAGTAATGAACTCAAGAGTACTCATTACCCAAAGAGGCAAGATCAGTAGGACATTCAGGATTGGGGTCCAAGAAGAGTTTGGATACACTCCCTAATGATGACTTTGACTTCTAAGGTGGTTACGTCACCAAATGGCACATGTTTGACTAAGTAGAGTCATTTCTACCTATCTCCTGGTCCCCACCATCCCCCAAATTGAATCACTACAGACGTTTTTTTGTTTTTTTTGAGATGGAGTTTTTGCTCGTTGCCCAGGCTGGAGTGCAATAATGCGATCTCGGTTCACCACAACCTCTGCCTACTGGATTCAAGTGGGTCTCTTGCTTCAGTCTCCTGAGCAGCTGGGATTACAGGCATGTGCCACCACGCCCAGCTAATTTTGTATTTTTAGTAGAGATGGGGTTTCTCCATGTTGGCCAAGCTGTTCTCAAACTCCTGACCTCATGATCCACCCGCCTCAGCCTACCAAAGTGCTGGGTTTACAGGCGTGAGCCACCGCGTCAGGCCCACAGACAGTTTTTGTAAAATGATCCCTATACAAATATGTCATTACAGATATAAAAGAACATGAGACTAAATATAAAGTTCAGATAAATTTTTGTTATGCAAAGCCTGAAAGAAAGCAGAAAACCTAAGCTGGAGGAAAACAGGCCAACAGAGATGGTGGGGAGGTCAGAGAAAACCATGAGACAGAAAGAGGAAACAAGCTTCCTGGTCCTTGGTGCACAGTTAGGGAACACATCAGTGGCTTATTCTTAAGGAGTAGCTGCCCAAGGGACACGGACAGGTAAGTGCCTCAATGCTGAGTAGGGAGCTAGAGGAGCTGCCTCTTCTTCCTTAGCCTTTCACTAGCATTCTTTTTTTACTCAGAACATGAGTATTTTAAAAGAACACAGTTTTGCTCCTGAAAATATGATGCACTAGATCTCCTCCCAAACTCCCCCACTACGAAAAGCCTAAAATTAAGGCAAAAAAGATAAATATGATTTGGCCAGGTGCGGTGGCTCATGCCTATAATCCCAGCTGTTTAGGGGGGCCGAGGCAGGGAGATCACCCTGAGCTGAGGAGTTCACAACCAGCCTGTGCAACATGGCAAAACCTTGTCTCTACCAGAAGAAAAAAAAAAAAAAAAAACAAATAGCTGGGCATAGTGGCATGTGTCTGTAATCCCAGTTACTTGGAAGGCTGAGGTGGGAGGATCGCTTCAGCTTCAGAGGTAAGGTTGCAGTGAGCTGAGGTCATGCCACTGTGCTCCAGCCTGAAGCCTGTCACATAAAGCCAGACCTTCAAAGAGCTACATATTAAGAGAAACGGTAAGTTTAAAAGAAGAAATTTGCCAGTTATGATGTGAGGTCTGGGTAGAAAAATGCCTCCCCTAAGAGTTCATAATTTCAGGCCTCTTATCATATGGGTTTAGGGATTTATTTTAACTTATGGCCCGGGAATCTCTAAGCCAAGAAATGAAAGTTCTCCTGGGTCACCTGGCAGAAGTAAATGCATAACCTCTCTGGAGAAATGCAAATTTAGAGCAGATTTTCTAGTATCGCTCCAGGGAAAGACCAGTTGAATATGCTATATGATTCAAAATTATAAAACCTGTAAGGAAATAGACCGTGACTTATCGCATGACCAGAAGCATAGCCGTGCTTCTGACAAGCATGACTTCTCAGAAACAATAAACAAGAATCAGACCCACTGAGAATTTTACATATAATAGAAGTATTTGATAGAAAATTTAGTCTGTTTAAAATGCCTTTTAAAAAAAAGTGGGAATAAGGCTTGGTGTGGTGGCTCACGCCTGTAATCATGGTGATCAGCTCAGGGTGATCTGCCTGTAATCCCAGCACTTTGGGAGGCCGAGGTGGGCGGATCACTTGAGGTCAGGAGTTCACAACCAGCCTGGCCAACACAGTGAAACCCCGTCTCTAGTAAAAATACAAAAAATTAGCTGGGCATGGTGGTACACACCTGTAGTGCCAGATACTTGGGAGGCTAAGGCAAGAGAATTGCTTGAACCTGGGAGGCGGAAGTTGTAGTGAGCTAAGATTGCATCACTGCTCTCCAGCCTGGGTGACAGAGCGAGACTCCATGTTAAAAAAAAAAAAAAAAAAAGTGAGAATAAAATAATTTTAGTAAGGAACAAAGTACCACCAAAAAATAGTAGGCATATTTGAAAGAACCTACTACAACTTAAAGAAATAAAATATAGTTGAAACCAAACCCCAGCTAGGCATGATGGCTCATGCCTGTAATTCCAGCACTTTGGGAGGCCGAGGCGGGTGGATTGCTTGAGGCCAGGAGTTCAAGACCAGCCTGGGCAACATGGCAAAAACCCTGTCTCTATTAAAAATGAAAAAAAAAAAAAAAAAAAAAAAAAAAAAAAATCAGCCAGCATAGTGGTGTACACTTGTAGTCCCAGCTACTCGGGAGGCTGAGGCACGTGAATCACTCAAACCTGGAAGGCAGGGAGGTTGCAGATAGTCAAGATGGAACCACTGTGCTCCAGCCTGGACAGCAGAGCAAGTTCTCAAAAAAAAAAAAAGACATAAAACACGAAAACCTCAATCACAGGTGAAAGACAGAGCTCAAGAATTAGTGAACAGACAATAGATATGAATGCCAGAATGCATCTGAGAGACAAAGATGAAAAATATGTCCAAGGAGCTAAGAGACATTAATGATAAAGTGACAATCTATAGCATGTCTAATCAGAATTCCAAAAGAAAAAAAAAAGAAGGTATGCCGGGCGCAGTGGCTCAAGCCTGTAATCCCAGCACTTTGGGAGGCCGAGGCGGGTGGATCACGAGGTCAAGAGATCGAGACCATCCTGGTCAACATGGTGAAACCCCGTCTCTACTAAAAATACAAAACATTAGCTGGGCATGGTGGTGCATGCCTGTAATCCCAGCTACTCAGGAGGCTGAGGCAGAAGAATTGCCTGAACCCAGGAGGCGGAGGTTGCGGTGAGCCGAGCGCCATTGCACTCCTCCAGCCTGGGTAACATGAGTGAAACTCCGTCTCAAAAAAAAAAAAAAAAAAAAAAAAGAAGGTGTAAGGACAAAATTCCATAAAAGATAATACATGAGAATTTCTCAGGAACTGATAAAAGATACTAATCCTCACATTCAGGAAGCCCTCTAAGTCTCAAACAGGATAAACAAAAGAAATTCACAAATAGATATATAATAGTGAACACTTCAGGATAACAAAACAATGAGAAGTAAAGCCACAGAAAAAAGATTATATAAAAGGGATCCATGATCTCTCAAAAACAACAAAAAGAAGTCAGAAAGTGGGATCATATCTACAGTTGTAGGAGAACCTAGAATCATATTCTTCACTAAATGAAAATTTAAAAAGAGGGTGAAATGAAGACTTTTTCAAATAAAAACAGTTTACTTCAGTGAATGCTCATAAGAGAAATTTGTCCTAGGAAGAAAGGTAGGAGTAAGCTCTAATATGGAAGAAAGAATGGTGAGACATAAAATAATATGTGTGAATGAATAAACAAACACAACATAAAATGATAATAATAATGTTTAAGGAGATGGAGGAAGGGGGCCAAGGAATGCAGGCAGCCTCTAAAACAAGCTTGTCCAATCCCTGTTCTAGAAGCTAGAAAAAGGAAGGAAATCAATTCTCTCCTAGAGCTTCCAGATGGGAACACAGCCCTGTCAACA